TGCCCAGTCGATACCAAAGATTGGTCAGACTGTGGAGAAGACTTATTAGGATGCCTCAAAGACCAAGATGTGAAATCAGCACATTGCTACACCATTCCTCCTAGAGGTCAACGAAAGAATCCGACCAACATTGCCAAAATTACCTTCCGTACACATGACCTTCCCTTACGTATCTACATTGGTGGACAATCCCTCCCTGTTCGACCATACCAATCCCCTCCCCGTCAATGTCAAAATTGTTGGCGCTTTGGACATCCTGCCAAACATTGCTGTTCCACAGACCCATGCCCCGTATGTGCCAACCTGGTCATAACCGATCAAATTGCCCTGCACAAACACGAACATGTGCTAACTGCGGCGGCCCCCATAATGTATTTTATAGAGGCTGTCCCACTTACAAATTTGAATCTGAGGTAGCAACTCTCAGATACAAAAATGGTCTCACTTTACGTGAAGCCAGACAGGAAGCACGTCGACAAGGTTTCTCTCATACTCCATACTCTAGTAACATCGCTCGCTCTGCCCCTCCCTCTCCACCCCAAGATGTCCCCATTTCCACTTCTACATTCTACATCCCTCAGACCAATTCCTTTGCCAATCTAAACCCAGACACCCCAATCTCAACCATAACTCCTATCTCAACTACAGCCCCAACACCCTCCCCTCTCCCTCCCCGCACTACCCGCAGTAGACAGACTAAACGTTCTAACCCTTCTTCCCCTACAGCACACTCACCTCCACCTACCTTTACCTTTACTCCTCAGACACCAGTCTCCTCTCCCGCCCCCCTCATAAGGAAACCCTTTGTCCACAAACAATTACCTTCTCACAAAACTCTCCAACCAATTCCATTGCAAAAACAATTACCTTCTCACAAAACTCTCCAACAAACTCCACTGCAGAAACTATGGAAGGCATTCAAATATATGCTCGAGACACAAGATCCCATAACTCATGCTCCCTCCACACTTGAAGTGACTGCCGATATCCATCCCCCTCCTGCTCATATTCGCCCTACACCCCCTCCTCCTCCTCCCTCTCAACACAACCTAACACCCTCAATTCCGCCCACCACCGATTACCCATATCCATCCTCCTGAAATCCATCCCCCTCTTATTCATAGCACCCCTACACCCCTTCCTCCTAATCCCTCCCAAGACAACACATCCCCTCAACTCCAACTATCCATCCTTCCGATATTCATCCTCCTACCACTAACCCCCCCCCCCCCCCACATACCTTTTCTACATTTGTCAACATGAATACGGCTCATGCTTACATACGTAATATATTTATATTACATGAATGTATATGTCTATATATATACACACATATATATACATACATACATACATATAATATATATATATATATATATATATAATATATATATAATATATATATATATATATACATTTAAATAAATGGCATTATTGTTTCATTTATATTATGAACATTATTGTTGCATTCATCATAATCATTTTCATTATATTCATCATCAAAACCATAATTTTCATCATAATCACCATCATAATCATCCTTTTCATCATCACAATCATCATTTTCATTATATTCATAATCATCATCATAATCATCATCATAATCATATTCATCTTATTCATCATCATTATCGTCATCATCCCTAATTCTTCTGATGGCGGGAAAACAAGAGGCCGCGATGTTGACAGTTTTGGCGGGCTTTTCAAGAGGCGTTTTCCTTCCTCAAATCCAACTCAAAATCGTCACTAATTCTGAGGATTTTGTTGCTCGACGGAAACCAGTTCGGGTCTTTCGTTTTTTAAAATTATTTCGGTTATTTTGGTTATTTCGGTTATTCGGTTATTTTTGTTATTTCGGTTATTCGGTTATTTTTTTGGGATATTTCGGTTATTTCGGTTCTTTAGGTTATTCGGATATTTCGGTTATTCGGTTATTTCGGTTCTTCGGTTATTTCGGTCATTCCGGTTATTCGGTTGTTTTGATTATTAGATTATTTTGATAAATTCGGTTATTTAATTTATTTTGATTAATTGATTTTTGAAAATCATTTCGGTTATTCGGTTGTTTGTTATTTTTGATTATTCGATTTTCAAAACTCGGTTATTGAGTCATTTCAGTTATTTTAGTTATTTTATTATTATTTCGGATATTCAGTTATGTAGGTTATTGTGGTAATTTCGGTAATATCCGATATACGGCTATTTTGGCTATTTCGGTTACTCAGTTATCCGGCTATTTCGGCCATTTCAGTTATTTCGGTTATGTTGATTATTCGGTTATTTCGGTTATTGCACGAATGGACGAATGGCACTTTGTACAATTAAATGAGTATCAGACATTATCATCGTCTTTATCAAAATTTCATTAGTTTTATCATCATTGTTAACGTTATTTTAATGTCATTTATGTGATTTATTACTATTGTGATTATCATTACCCTTATCATTGTTATCATTGTCATTATCATTGTTATTATTATTATATTTATTTTTGATTATCGTTAATTGTCATCATTAATATCATTTATTACTATTAATGGTATCATTAATTCTTATTATCGATAGCATCATGGATCATTATTATCATTACTCTCATCTTAGACTATTTTTATTATTATAATTATCATCATTATCATAATTATCTTTATCATCATTGGTATCATATCTATCGTTATTACTACTGCTAATAATATTTTCATTATCAGTATTTTTTGCTACGATTATTAGTGTTGTAAACATTTTTTTTAGTAATAATTACTTTTTTTATCTTATGTTGATGAAAGATATCTTTATTTTTTAGTGTGTGTGTGTGTTTGTGTGTGTCGATGTGTTTGTGCGTGCATGTGTGCGTGCGTATGTTTGTGTATGTGTGTGTACATGTGCGTGTGTGCACGTACATACGTATGTGTGCGTGCGTGTGTGTGTGTGCGCATGTATGTGTGATTGTGTGTGCTTTTGCGTGCGTACATGTGTGTGTGTGTGTGTGTGTGTGTGTGTGTGTGTGTGTGTGTGTGTGTGTGTGTGTGTGTGTGTGTGTGTGTGTGTGTGTGTGTGTGCATATTCGATTAATCCTCCGACCCTTCCTTAAAAAAAAAGTATATAAGTATGAAGATAAGTAATAAAACTATATAACTGAATAAACAAAAATTGGTAGACAAATAAAGATGATTAATAAAAATAAAACCAGATTCGAAAGTTTCATTATTTATTGGACAGATTTCATATACATTCCATAACTAAAAATATCTAAAACAAGAGATATACTCTCCACCATCATATACACAGTCGCCATACACTGAATGAGACACAGAAATGTACATTATAACATCACAGGAACCGCGGCCTCGTCTCAACTCGTGGGTGAGGGTGCTTCTTGGCCTTGGCTTCGTCTTCGGGTGTTCGGGTTATGGATTGGTCTTTGGCTTCATTTTCTTTCGGCCTTTGTAAGCGTGTGTGTTTTGTTTTTAAAGATCGTTATTCACATTAGCGATGTAAATAGATGTTTTTTTTCTGTTTATACTTAGTCTCGCTTTATTGTCTTTCTCTCTGTTTATTTTCACGGGTAACACAGTGCAGTGTCTCTGTCTTTGTCAACTGTGTAATTAACGCAAATCACTGAAAGTTAATAGTGATTCTTTTTCCATTTTCTTATTTTCCTTTAATGTATTTTTTTTTCTACGATTTACATTACTTTTTTTCTATCTTCTACTTTACTTATATGAAGATAAATGCGCGACAAACACACACATATACATGTAAATTAAGGATTGCAATATGCAACAACAGGCTTATTGTATGCCCACGATCTGCAACCAGGCACGTTAAAATCTCATGTTAATTTCTCCCTTGCGATATCAACACACAATTAACTTCATCGTTAACTTCACCGTTGAGTTAACTTCTCTCACACACACGCACACACACACACGTTATTTTCACCGCGTAAAATTACGGCGAAAATCATAAACTGGCAACTCGACGCAGCGTTGATGCAGAGTTGTCAGATATTATTATTATCTTTATTATTATTAATATTATTTCTTGATTAGATATAAAAGAAAGTTTCCTAACAACTTCCTAACTTCTAGTGTCTCTTATGCTAATGACTAGTTGGGAAAAAAGGCGCAACTGTTGTTTTCAAACTTTTTTTTTTCTTTTTTAAACAGCGTTAGGTTAACACACAAAAAACGTACCTGTATTTTTGGAATTTCACAGAAAACGGTTATTTTTATTTGTCTGTTTGTTCTTATTCTTGTAAGAATGTTTTGTCGTTTCTTTTCTTTTCTTTTCTTTTTTAATCTAATTGTCCTTTGTCTTTGAAGAATATTGTTTGTCATTGTCAAGTAAACAAACATACAAGGACACAAAGAATGTATTACATGTCCTTGTTTATTTGTTTATGTCTTTGCTGCCTATTTCTTCCTTCCCCTTGTGTCCGTTTTCGTTATGTTTGGTTTGTCTTCGTTTTCGTTATTCCTCTTTCCCTGTTTCTCCCATTTTCTATATCGGTGTTTCTGCTTTCTCTCGATCTTTATCTTCCTGTTCTGCGTTTCACGTGTTTTATCGTCAGTTTCTTCGTCTTGTTTCTTTGTATCGTCATTCTTTTTTGTTCTTAGTCTTTTGTCAATTTCTTTGTCACCATTTTGTTTTTCACTTTGGTATTTTAATTCTTTCTTTCTTTATTTGTTTGTTCATTTCTTTCTGTAAAAAGATTGGTCTCTTGGATAACCGTAGATGGGAAGGAGAAGAGGGTGATAAAGACAGAATAAGGGGAAGGAGGGATGACAGAACATTTGTAATGAAGGAAGAGAGAAGTCAGACGGGAAGGAAATGACAGGGAACAGGAAGGAGTAAAGAGGAGAAAAGGGAGAGAGGAAGAGGAAGAAAAAGCGAGAGCGAGGGTTCTGCAGGGTCGGAGCAGTGGGGGGGGGGGGTCTAGGTCGGGGCCCAGCGCGGGGGCGGTGGGCGGTGGGGGGTCAGTGCGGGGCGGTGGGCGGGGGTCAGTGCGGGAGCGGTGGGCGGGGCGCGGGGGTCGCGGGGGCGCGGCGTGAGGCGCGGGGGTCGGGCAGCGATTCGGGCGTGATGCCCGTGGAGGAGTCCCGCTGCAGGAGGAGGTACAGGCGGTTGTTGAGGCCGCGGTGCGTCTCGGTGACCACGCCCACCGTGCCCTCCGACTCGGTGACGAGGCCGCCGCCCGCGGCGCCCATGCCCACCGCCATCACCACGTCGTCGTCGCCGCCCTGGCGCCAGTACGACGACGACGCCGCCCACAGCGGGCTGGCCGCCTTGCCGCGCCCGCGCGCCAGCAGGAGGCCGCCCACCAGCAGCGCCAGGCCCACGCACGACGCCACCACGCCCGCGCCCACCACCGCGCCGTCGCTGACGCGGCGTCGCTCACGCCCACGGGCAGCGGCGGCCCGCCCCGCGCGAGCCGTCGCCGCGGAAGATCCACAGCTCCTTCTTGTGGGCGGCGCGGTGGCGCGGGGGCGCCCCGCTGCCGCCGCCGCCGCGTCGGCCGCCCGCGTCTTGGCGTCCGGCGTCCCGGGGCGGGCGTCCTTGAGCGGCCTCCGCCACTTCTTGCGCGGCGTGCCGCCCTCCGCCGCGGGCGTGGCGCCGGCCGCACCGGCTCCTGCGGCGGCGGCGGTTGTGGATGACCCAGTAGGGCGGCGACGAGGCCTTCGCGGCGGCCGGGGGCGGGGTCCGCGCGCGGCGCGCCCTCGGGCTGGGCGAGGGGCCGGGGCCTCCCGCCGGCGCGGCAGAGGGGGCGGCGGGCGTGCTCGCCGGCGGCGCCTCGCCGCCCGCACGCTGGCGGCGGCCGCGAGGGGCGCCTCGGTCGTGCTGCGGGCCACGGAGGGGGCGGCGCCCTCGGTGGCGCCAGGGAGGGCCTTCGAGGAGGTTTCCGGGGCCGCCGTCGTGGTCTCAGGAACTCCGGCAGTGGTCTCAGGAGCCCTGGTGGAAGTCACCGGGGCGCCAGTAGTCGTCGGGGCTCCGGTCGTCGTCTCAGGGGCGCCGGTCGTCGTCTCAGGGGCGCCGGTCGTCGTCTCCGGGGCGCCAGTCGTGGGCGGAGGCCTCTTGGCGGCGGGCTTGGGCCGCGCCATGAAGGGCGCGACGCCGATGATGGGCGAGTTGCTGTCCCTGCGCGTGAGGACGGCGAGGTCCGGCAGCGGCGTCGAGGCCGACGTCCCCGCGACCACGCCCTCGCCCGTGACGTCATGAGCGCCCGCGACCGCCCCCCCGGCGTGTAGGACGAGGACAGCCGCTGTTGTAGTCGTTGAAGTCCTGCTGGTTGCGGTTGTAGTTGTGGCGGGAGTTGTTGCGGTGGTTGTAGTAGTTGTGGAGGCGGGACCGACTGACGTGCTGGCGTTGAGGAAATCGGAATTCTCCAGAAGAATGACGGGTTTGTAGCCCAGGTGAGCCGGCGAGGAGCACCTGCGGGGGTGAGAAGAGGGACCCGTGACGCCTTCCCTGAACTCTGGCCTCCCGCCCTCGAAAGGGATCTTGGAAATGCAACACTTACTGAAGGAAATGAGTAGTCTGTCCAGCATGAAAACAGCCAGACATTACCGGACATTTCCAGTACCAATAATGACATAGTTTTATAATAAGACATTGCCTGGAAAAGAAGTAGAAAAAAAAGAAAAAAAGAAAAAAAGTCAATGTAATAACTATATGTACGTAATACCAAGGTGTGAAAGGCCAGACAAAATATCAAAATATAGTCTATTTTTTTTCTTTTCATAAAGGTAATGATATAAATCACTTTTTAAATTTGACTACTGACGTGGAAAAATCTAAAAACATATTAATTCATCACAGTTTCTCGGTATCGGCATCATATTACTCCTGTGTCGAGAATACCCAAGAAGAGAACAATATGAACAGAAGAACAGGAAGAAGACAAAGAAGGTGAAGAAGAATAAGATGCACAATGATAATAATAATAATAATAATGGTAATAATAATAATAACAATAATGAGGGAGAGCACATCCTGGATCCGGATCATAACCTGCATTTTTACCAAAGCCTAATGGCATCCAAGTCGGGCTGAGACCTCTGCTAAAACGAAGCATAGAAATCTATCCATAACTTTTTGAGTTAAACAACTATACTAAACTAAGCTTAACTAACATAATCACCGCTACCAAAACATAACCTCCGGAGGTAATAATAATAATAATAATAATAATAATAATAATAATAATAATAATAATAATAATAATAATAATAATAATAATAATAATAATAATAATAATTATAATATATAATAATGATAATTAATAATTAATAATAATAATGATAATAATAATACTTAATAATAATAGTAATAATAGGAAGAAGAAAAAGACGAATGAAACGGAGATGAAGATGATGAATAAAAAATAAGAATAAGGAAAATAAGATAATGATGAATGAGAAAAATAATAATAAGAACACCTGGTGCTTAATGAAAGGTACAAATTCATCCCTGATTTATATATCTATCTATCTATGATCGATAGATACCGAGGCTTAACCGTAAGGATTATGAATATCTCTGTTTCTACTCTCTCTCTCTCTCTATCTATCTGTCTATCAATGATCTATCAGGCTTTTATACGGTGCTGCCAAACTGATGGGATTTGTGGTCTATCCATCTATCTGTTTATGATCGATAGACACCAAGACTTAATCAGATGCTGTCTGTATTTATCAACCCTCTCCTCTCTCTCTCTCTCTCTCCATCTATCTTTCTCCTCCCTCCTCCATCCATCCTCCCCCATGCACTCCATCCCTACCTTCCTAGCTACCCTCCTCTCAGTCTCTCCCTTCCTATCTATCCTCTCTCAGTCTTCCCTTCCCTCCACCCCTTCTATCATCTATCCATCCCCATCTCAGTCCCTTCCCTTCTATCTACCTCTCTTCCCTTCCTCCACCCCTCCTCTCTTATCCATCTATCTATCTATCTCCCCTCCCATTCACTCCATCCCCTCCTTCCTCCACCCCTCTATCCATCTATCTATCTATCTCCCCCATTCACTCCATCCCTCCCTTCCTATCTACCCTCTCTCAGTCCCTCCCTTCCCTCGCCCCCCCTCTCTCTCCATCTATCCATCCCCCAATTCACTCCATCCCTCCTTCCTTTCCTCCCTCTCTCAGTCCCTCTTCTATCTACCACTCTCAGTCCTCCCTTCCTCCACCCCTCAATCCATCTATCCATCTATCCACCCCCTCTATCCTCTATTCTCTATCCACGAAGCCCTAACCGCTCACCTGATGCTATACGACCGGTAAAAGGTGACGGGTGACCTGGCCACCATCCACCTCTTCATCCACAGAATCTTGCTCGGGTTCGTGCAATCCCAGGTGTTGCCGCTGAACTTTGCAACCTGCAATGGGCGGGGCGGGCGTAAAAAAAGGTAGTGTTGAGTTAGGATTAATGTAAAGATTGATACAATTGGCGACACCGTGGGAAAAAAAGTGTTGAATTACAGAGAATATAAACATTATTGTAATACGATAAAAATTGTGTGCAAAAAAAAAGTGTTGAGTTTGATGTAGTGTAAAGATTATTGCAACAAGTAAAATTATGTGGAAAAAATTAGTGTTGAGTTAAAAAAAAAATGATGTAAAAATTACTGCAATACGTGAAATATAAACATTTCTGCAACAGGAAAAAAATGTATGCGTAAAAAGTTAGTAATGAGCTAAAATGATATAAAGATTACTGCAATAATTGAACATTTGTGGATTAACGTTAGTGTTGAGTTAAAAAAATAATGTAAAGATTACAGAAATAGGTGAAATTGTGTGAAAAAAGTTGGTGCTCAGTTAAAAATTGTGTGCAAAGAAAGTTAGTGTAGAGTAGAAATCATCTAAAATTTACTAAAAGAAAATAAAAAGGTACTACAATGGAAAAGAATGTTTGCTAAAAAGTCAGTGTTGAATAAAAACAAGTAAATAAATATAACGTATTGCAAGGGAGAGGATGTTGTGCAAAAAGTCAGCGTTGAACAAAAGATGAAAAGGAGCTGCAACAGGAAGGATATGTGTAAAAAGGTCAGTGTTGAACAAAAAGAAGAAAAACAAAAGAAAAAAAGGGTACTGCAATAGTAAAAGGTCAATAAAGTAAAAACAAATAAAATAAAATAAAATAAAAAGATACTGCAACAGGCAAATTTGTATGTCAAATATATATATATATTATATATATATATATATATATATATATATATATATATATATATATATATATATAAATATATATATATATATATATGCATAAACGTTACTGCAAAATGTGTGCAGTGCCATTGCTGAAAAAGGTACTGTAATAACCATGAATGTACATAAAAATGTGTGTTAAACAAACAAACAAAAATTACTGCATTAGGCAAATGTGTTAAAAACAATTGCTGAATAAAAACTTCACTTTTCTTGCATGACATTCTAAGTGAAATAAGGAACAATTGCTCGAGTGAAGAGAAAGTATGATATACAATAATTTTTCTCAAATATTGAGGTATTGTGTGAAAAAAAATTACTTTAATAGATAACAATAGTTCACATATAACTTTTATTTTCAAATAAACAACAACTTATCGAATGAAGATAAAGGGACACTAAATAAAGTATAGATTTGTTATTCAGCTCAAGGTTAGTTCTTCAAATACAGTGCCTTTGCTATAAAGTCCATTGTACTAATATAAAGACATTATTTTGATGATATGCTTTTGTTCAGAGAGGGAGGCGCCTGTTCATAAAAAAGTTCATAGTTCATAGTTCAAGGTCCGTAAGGAAACAATATGTAAAGAGAAAGGGGAAAAAATATCTGTTCGTATTTTTGAATTGTAAACCCGACTGTCCTTAAATTTGAAATGTTTCGATTCTTATCAATTATAAACTCCTACCCAGTCCACAACCCCGTTTCCTTCCCCCCCCTCTCCCCTCCTTCCTCATCTGTTGCCTCTCCCTCTCTCTCCTCCCCACTCCTGTGCCTCCCTTGGCTCCCTCCTTCCCCTCCTCCCGTTCCCCTTTCCCTCCCTGCCCCCTGTGCCTCTCCACCCTTGTCTCCCTCCTTCCCCTCTTCCTACCCCCTCTAGCCCCATCTCCCGTGCCCCTTCCCCCCCTTCCCCCTCCGTCCCACCTCCTGTGACCCTTCCTCCCCTCCTCCCCCCTCCCCCTCCTCCCCCCTCCCGCGCCCTGCCCTCCTCCTCCCCCCTCCTCCTACCTGCAGCTTGGGGAAGAAGGCGGGGAAGTCGTTCCTGAGCGCCTTGAGGTCGTTGTGCATGAGGTTGAGCTCGCGGACGCCCCTGAGTGAGTGCAGCATCCTGGTGGAGTTGAGGATGAGGGCGACGAGGTGCGGCGAGCCGTACATCTCGAGGATCTGGAGGCCCTTGAGGGGGTCGAAGGCCGTCTCGGGGACCGTCACGTTGTCCGAGTGGACGCGCGACATCTGCAGGACGCGCACGGACGTCAGGCCGGCGAACACGGCGGCGTCGAGGGCGAGCAGCGGGTTCTGCGACAGGTCGAGCGTCTCGAGGCTGGCCAGGCGCGAGAACACCCTGCCGGCGAGGGTCGTCAGGCGGTTGGCCTGCAGGTCGAGGGTCTTGAGGCTGACCAGGTCGCAGAGGGCGCAGTCGGCGACGCTGGCGATGTGGTTGCGCCGCAGGAACAGCTGCTCGAGGCTGGCCAGGCCGCGGAAGTCGCCCTCGCGCAGGCTCTCGATCATGTTCTCCTCGATGTAGAGCGCGCGCAGCGCCGGCGGCAGCGACAGCGGCACGGCCTGCAGGCTGTTGCCGTTGAGCCACAGGCGCGCCAGGTACTCGTGGCGGCCCAGGGCGTCCTCCTCCAGCAGCTGCAGGCCGTTGTCGTCGAGCACGAGCAGGCCCAGGTACGGGTAGGAGTCGAGGTCGCCGCGGTGGATCTCGCGGATGGCGTTCTTGGCAAGGCGCAGGTCGCGCACGAACTGCGTCAGCGCCTGCGGCACGCGCGCGATGCCGATGTTGGACACGTCGATGTACTGGAGGCGCGAGCCGAAGAAGTCGAGCGTGGCCAGTGACGACAGCGGGTTGTTGGACAGGATGAGGTGCGCCAGCCCCGTCAGGTGCTGGAAGGCCGCCACGTCCACGGACGCGATCAGGTTGCCGTCCAGGTTGACGTACTGCACGCGGTCCAGCCCCTGGAACGTGTCGTGCGTCAGCGCCGTCAGGTTGTTGTCCTTGAGGTTGAGGTGCTGCAGCCACGACAGGTGCGCGAACGGCCGCGTCAGGTTGGCCAGGCGGTTCGCCCGACAGGTCCAGGTGTGCAGCGCCGACAGGCCGGTGAACACGTCGGGCCCGAGGCGCACCAGCTGGTTCTCGGACAGGTCGAGGCGCTCCAGCTGCGGCAGGCGGCTGAAGGCGTCGTCCAGCAGCCGCGACAGGTTGCACTGGTTCAGCTGCAGCTCCCGCAGGTCGGGCAGCTGCTGGAGCTGCGCGGCGCCCAGCTCCGGCACCAGGAAGTTGCGCAGCTCCACGCGGGTGAGGCCGGGCGGCAGGGAGGGCGGCGCCCACTGGCTGTCGCCCACCACGTCGCGTAGCCGGCCTGCGGGGGAGGGGGAGGGGGGGGGGGTTAGCTGCGTCGTCAACGGGCTGTGCGGAAGGAGAGCCACCGCGCTGGTCGGGGACCTTGCTCTGCTAATCATTTGATTTTTTTTTTTTACAACACTACTGGTAGTATAAGCATCATTATTATTGTATTATTATAATTTTTCAATTATATTACTATTGTTATTATTATCATTATTTTCGTTATCAATAATACCATCATCAGTATTACTATCATTAATAGTAGTAGTAGTAGTAAGATTAGTAACAATAGTGAAATAATAATAATCTAGTTTTTTTCTATATGTGACAATGAATAATCTGTTTGCTATAAGCAGTCTATTTGCTCCTAAATTACCCCCTGTGGACAAGGAATGGCCGGGGTGACCATCCACTGGCAGCGCGCGGGATTTGAACGCGGGCCAGTAAAGTTGGTAGACGAGAACGCTACCGGTGCACAACACAGATAGTAGTAATCGTGTTATTATTATTATTATCATTACTATCATACACACGCACACGCACACATACACACGCACACGCACGCACACACACACACACACACACACACACACACACACACACACACACACACACACACACACACACACACACAACACACACACACACACACACACACACACACACACACACACACACACACACACACACACACACATATATATATATATATATATATATATATATATATATATATATATATACATACATACATACATACATACATACATACATACATACACAC